TACTAACCTGTGAAGATGGCGCTGTGCTGCAGGTACCTCGACGACGAGCTGGAGCTATGGCGCTGCAGGTAAGTGTCCCTGGCCTCCGCCCAATCTCTATCTCTTTCCAGTGCTTCTCTAGCTCCTAGTAGCGCCCAGCGCTGAAGACTACTGCTAACGCTACCACTACTACTACAGCGCTCCTCCAGAGTGCTCCTGCCGAATCCTGAAGACTACCTCCTGCCTCCTGAACTGCACGTGAAGCCCCTGGGAAGTCCCTATGATCTACCTGCAGTCTGCAGAGCGGGCCAGTCTTATATAGTGTTGGCCCGTCAAGGAGGCCGCATTTGCCAATGCCACAACGTGCCAGACCCTGCCTGGCGTTGAAGTTCAAACAAAGATTGTCTTGAAAACAGGCCCAAAACGGCATGTGCTAAAACCCTGGTCTGGTGCCTAAGTTTCAGGGCAGGTCGATCTTATGAGGGCCTGAAAATGGCCCTCCGTTTCAGGCTGAAAAGACTCAGGGCCTGGAGGGCCTTTTTTAGGCTGAAGCGACACAGGTGCAAGGAACATGAATATGGACGAAGCACAGAAATCCAGAATGCAAAATCGCACTGAAGTCCAAGTAGTCGAAGTCAAAGCAGATAGCACATGGAACCAAGTATCCATCCAATTGAGAATGATACAGAAGAATCGTGAGTCAATGTCCATGCCCAACAGGGCAACACCAACAGCATAACCCAAATGTAGCTCTCTCTTATGAATGGCGCCAGGCGCCCTATCTACTCTACAGACTAAGCCTACAACTACAGCTATGAAAGCAACCAGACAACTTGACTACCAGCGAGTGATGATTTCAACACCAATGCCGACCTCCACCTCCTCCAGGTACGTGTCCTCTTCCCCACACTCTCCCTTGTTACCCACACAGCGCCCTTCACCTCCGAAGTACCACCTTCGCCCTCACCTCCTCTGCACCCTCATGCGGCCCGGCTATGGCCGCCAGTGTCCTGCATGCAGGCAGCGCCCTACCGCCTAGCGCTGGCCTGCTTGCTCTTAGCGCAGCAATCATGCATCCGCTCAGCGTGCCCGCAAGTGTCAGAATTGGCCAAGATCCCTGCTGCCTCGCCCTGCTTGCCTATATGCCAATGCAGCGTGTGGGCGGCCTCCCTTCAGCCTGTGACCGGGGCCCAGAGGCTGAAGCCAACTCGATACAGTTGGGCCCGGGGCAATGCAGTTGGGCCTCTTTCATCAAGGCCTGCGGCCAGATTCAGACAGTGGGCCGATTTCCCTTTGGCATTTTCGGCCTCTCTACCCAGCGTGCATTGTCGACCTCACGTTCGAGTGCCCAAGGCCTAACTAACTCAGAGGCCCTGGGCATTTCAGCATTTGCTGAAATCCGAGACTCGGTGCACTCCAACCAACTGGCGTGCTGCAACTGTATAGACCCCACTTCGTGAAATGTTGGCATAGAGGGCTCTTGTTGATTGCTGGCCCGCCTTCACTTAGGGCGGGCAATAGGCTTGCTGGGGCCTTAGCCCAGAACATGTACATCATGGCAAGGCCCCTACTTGAGGGCTCAATCCTCACACAGGGCCTGTAGGCCCTTGTTTTCAGGTTTTCAGACTGAAACGACACAGGGCCTATAGGCCCTTGTTTTCAGGCTTTCAGGCTGAAACGACACAGGGCCTTAAAATGGCCCTCGTTTGCAGGCGCAGCATGTAACAGCTGTCAGGTGCTGACGTGGCACCCAGGTGAGTGGGAGGTGCCGCATGTGCATGCAATCAGACTCGCTTTCTTTTCCACTTCGCATACATGCAAACAGATGGCGATTCACACTGGCGCTTCGTGCCCACTCAAAGCTCAGAGATATGGAAAATGAAAACACAGTTAAGATGCCAACTCGCTTCAACAACTATGGTGCATCGGCGCCTGCACACCAACTTTCGTCACTGTGTCCTATACCACCGTTCGCACATACTCAACTCTGGATCACCCTGAATACCACCACACACACACACACTAATTCTATCTTCCTTCTACAGAGGTTATGGACGCTCTTCGTAAGCCCACTTAGTCTTCGGGCATCCTGCAGACCATCTTCGCACAAGACGCTGTAGCAGCTCTTCCGCATGGCTTACGCAGCGAATGAATGAATTGTTGGGCGCTGCTCTTGATGTATACTTCTGTTTGTCGCTGGTCTGCCCCTTTCCACCAGGCCCTGGATGTGCACAGTCCAACACGGTACTTGCTTGACTGGACTCGATACGACTGGGACTGGTAACCCTGACTGCATGAGGTTGCACTGCTGACCCAACGCATTTGAACCTGCGACTCCCCTACAGACCTCTAGCCTAGCAGTTCCGACCTCTACACAGCTATGACCCCTACTTGACAGACCTACAGATCGARCCCCTACATCTACACCGACCTACGACAGACAAACAACCAACTACCAAAACACAGGTCATGGGTTCAAACACTCGGGGGTCAACTCGA